TCCCTATCTCTGTAACCCCCTCTGGCCCCTACACCCCCTTCCTATCTCTGTAACCCCCTCTGGCCCCTACACCCAATAACAACAGACCAACAACATTGAGACTTTGCCCACCAAGCTAATGTGAAAGTTTGATTCGGATCACAGTCCTTCAGATTCCAAACGCTCCAATGAGTTAACCTTTTGTTTCCTTCTGTCCGAGATGAGTGGGGTTATGTACAGGAAACCGTTCGGAATTCCTGATAGCAGTGATGAGACTGTGTTGAATTGAGCTCACTCTGGGATTACAGTGATGAGAAGTGGTTGTTTTTGACTTGGTTCAGTATTACTGGGCCAAAGATCTCTCTGACTCTATGTCACAGCAGCTTGGATGTGATCTGTCTCCTGCATTAACTTCCAGCTCATCTGGAAAAAATGTAAGGATAGTCCCGACTTGGTGAGGATGGGATGGACAACTCACAGAGAAATTAAAGATTATAGGAAAGAAATTCAGATTTAAAAGATTGGATAATGACAAGAATAACATGTCAACATTCTATCCTTTAGGAGAATGCAAGTAACATCAAACTGTATTGTCCTGATTTGAGCTATATCAAAGTAAGTATTTAATAGCAGGCTTTTATTTATCTCATTCTCCCACTTAACTTGCATATTGTTGTCTGTTAATTTTGCTATGTTAGGAAGATAAGGAGTAGGTCACCTTAGAACACAGAACTGTACAGTACGGGAAAGGGCCCTTCAGCCCACGAACTTGGTGCCAAATGAAACCAATCCCTCCTGCTGCCCTTGGTCCATATCCCTCCATTCCTTACATATTCATGTGCTTATCTAAAATCCCCTTAACTGCCCTATTGTATCTGCCTCCACCACCACCCCTGGCAGTGTGTTCCAGACTCCTACCACTCTCTCTGTGTAAAAATAACTTACCCCTCACATCTCCTTTGAACTTTCCCCCTCTCACCTTAAATGCATGCCCCCTAGTATTAAACATTTCAACCCTGGGAAAAAGATTCTGACCATTAAACTGATCTATTCATTTCATAATTGCCCACCACTCTCTGTGTAAAGAACCTACCTCTGACATCTCCCCTATACCTTCCTCCAATCACCTTAAAATTGTGGCCCTTGGTAATAGTCATTTCCGCCCTGGGAAAAGGTCTCTGACTATCCATTCTATCTATGCCTCTCATCATCTTGCACAATTCTATCAAGTCACCTCTCATCCTTCTTCGCTCCAATGAAAAAAGCCCAAGCTCCCTCAACCTTTCCTCATAAGACCTGCCCTCCAGTCCAGGCAGCATCCTGGTAAATCCCCTCTGCACCCTCTCTAAAGCTTCCACATCTTTCCTATAATGAGGTGACCAGAACTGAACACAATATTCCAAGTGTGGTCTAACCAGAGTTTTATAGAGCTGCAGCATAACCTCATGGCGCTTAAACTCAATTCCCCTGCCAATGAAAGCCAACACACTATACACCTTCTTTACAAACCTATCACCTTGGGTAGCAATTTTGAGAGAACTATGGACGTGGACCCCAAGATCCCTCTGTTCCTCCACACTGCTGAGAATCCTGTCATTAACCCTGTATTCTGCATTCAAATTCCACCTTCCAAAATGAATCACTTCACACTTTTCCGGGTTGAATTCCATCTGCCACTTCTTTGCCCAACTCTGCATCCTGTCAATGTCCCATCGCAACCTACAACAGCCCTCCACGCTGTCCACAACTCCACCAACCTTTGTGTCATCGGCAAACTTACTAACCCACCCTTCCACTTCCTCGTCCGAGTCATTTATAAAGATCACAAACAGCAGAGGCCCCAGAACAGATCCCTGCGGAACACCACTGGTCACCAAATTCCAGGCTTCCATCTATTACCACCCTCTGTGTTCAATTGGACAGCCAGTTTTGCATCCAGACAGCCAAATTTCCCTGAATCCCATGCCTCCTTACTTTCTGAAAGAGCCTACCATGTGGAACATTATCAAATGCCTTGCTAAAATCCACTGCTCTGCCTTCATCGATGTGTTTTGTCACATCCTCAAAGAAGTCGATAAGCCTTGTGAGGCATGACCTGCCCCTCACAAAGCCATGTTGACTATTTCTAATCAAACTGCTTTTCCAAAAAAATCATAAATCCTATCTCTCAGGATCCTCTCCAATAATTTGCCCACCACAGAACCTCTTGAATTTTGTTGCTGATGACTTCATTTTTGATTGAATATGTATTTTTCCCTCCCACTATTTTGTATCATGTTTTATCTACTCACTAAGACATATGTTTTCTGTTATTCATCATGTTGTGTTTTTAGTAAATCCATTTGTCATATAGAAGCACAATGTGCAGCTCATGCACAGATGGGATCAATCCAGGCTTTAGGCTAACTTGTTTATTTCCATTGTTTTCTGTTATTTCACATCTCCAGCATCCCAATCTCTTTGCTTTAGCAAAACATTGACTTTCCTAAGCCCTATGCAAAGCCAAGAGAGCTTCCTCTCTGGGCACAGGGAAGCAGTGGGAATGTCGCTGGGCAAACAGCGTTCCAGCATTCTGGGTGAATGCTCTGATGATGTAGAGACAGTTCACACCATGGCAAATGATGAGATCTCCGTTCAATTAAAAGCTAGTGTAACATACGAGGGCAGGACTTGTGCAGTTAAAAATAGGGCATTGATTAGTGCTGATTTAGGTAAGTACATGAATAAGAAATGTTTGGAAGGATATGGGCCAAGCAAGGGCTGTTGAGACTAGTTTAGTTTGGATTAGCGTGGACTGGTTGGACCGAAGGGTCTGTTTCCATGCTCTATGACTATGAGGTGGCTCAGTGGTTAGCATTGCTGCCTCACAGCACCAGGGACTGGGGTTTGATTCCAGCCTCGGGCAACTGTCTGTATGGAGTTTGCACATTCTCCCAGTGTCTGTTTCCTCCGGGTGCTCCAGTTTCCTCCCGCAGTCCAAAGATGTGCAGGTTAGCATGGATTGGCCATGGGAAATTGCCCCATAGTGTGCAGGCTAGGTGGGTTAGCTCATGGGAAACGCAGAGTTATAGGAAAAGGATATGGGTCTGGGTGGGATGATCTTCGGAGGGTTGGTGCAGACTCGATGGGCGGAATGACCTGTTTCCAACACTGTAGGGATTCTTTGACTCTATTAGCAACCATGTTCACCGATGCCCTTTAGGGAGGGAAATCCTCTGGTCTGGCCTACATGTGACTCCAGACCCAGAGCAATATGGCTGACTTTTCACTACCCTCTGAGGCAATTAACATCATGACGAAAGGGAAAAGGGAGGAAGGAACCCTGCTAAACAGTCTCACGATGTGTGTACTGGTGTAGCCCTTCACATTTACTGTTAGCTGAGCTCAGACATTTCTCACGGACCCGCATAGAAATGGTGTGATGTTCATTTTATTGCAGAATTGCCAGAGGGAGGCACTGGTGTGTTTCAGAGCTGAACTAAACGTCCTGGATTTTGAATATGATGGAACTTCGAAGCAGGGAGTCACTGAATCCATATCCAAATTAAAACAATCTTTCGATTCGTATCTCTCTCATCTGGTAAGTTTGACTGTGAAGTCCTGCCCTCCTACACAATTGTTAAATTGCTGAAACCACAGCCAATTGAGATAACAAAGTGTAGAGCTGGATGAACACAGCAGGCCAAGCAGCATCAGAGGAGCAAGAAGGCTGACGTTTCGGGCCTAGACCCTTCTTCAGAATTGCTTGTTTATAAGTGACGGCTGTGGACCACCCTAAAAGGGATATGACTCACATATCATGACCTTCATTGCAAAGGTAATTACCCTCATCAAAGGCTTGTTTTATCTATGTTAAACTCGATGTAATTACATTGACCGGCTTTATTTAGCATTCTCAGTGACCCCCTTCCCTCTGTAGAAGCCACAAGCAATTTCCAAGATGTTATCCCATTTCCATTTGTTATATCTGACAAATGCCCGGTGTCCGTTTGACAGTCCCAAATCCTCTCCTCACGATCCCAGTGTGGATCCGGTGGAGATGAACTCCTGAATCCGAGATCACCCACATCTTGGCAAATTCCACATCAAGAACTGGGTGTGCTAATGTGGGTTAAGTGTTTCTAATGTGTCTGTGGTGATGTATGGGTTATTGGAAAGGTTAATGTAGAAAAGAGGTTTGAGAAGGCAGTAGGTGCGAAAAGAAATAAAATATATGTCGAGGAGAGATTAGAAATAACACAGACTGACCCACCCTATTGACACACTCTCAAGTATCTGGGGGGAGGTGAATGGCCTGGGAATATTTTGAGAACATTTAGGTCAAAGTTTCCTTCGTGCAATCACCTGTTGAAGTCTCATGTCACCACAGTGTTTAGGAAATACTTTAGCTCTTGAGCAGAAGATAGGGTGTGGATTGTTTAGATTGATAGAAGAATGAGCTACTTTTGTGCAGTGGGAGTTAGATAAACTACAGGATTGCCCTCACTCTATATTTGCAATGTAAGTCACACTTCAAATATTTGATGGTTAAGCCAGAGTGACCTGGAAAGTGTGCATTTAAGTGGGGTGTGGCAGCTGGTAGCCCTCAGTCTGAGGTACAAAGCATAGAACATAGAACATAGAACAGTACAACACAGTACTGGCCCTTTGGCCCACGATGTTGTGCTGAACTTTTACCCTAAACCTCAGGTCTATCTAACCTCCACTCCTACTTTATACTATCATCCATATGTCTATCTAATAGCCGCTTAAATGCCCCTGATGAGGCCGACTTCACTACCCTCTCCAGCAATGCATTCCACGCCCCGACCACTCTCTGAATAAAGAACCTACCTCTGACGTCTCCCCTATTTCTACCTCCACTCACTTTAAAACTACGCCCCCTCGTAATAGCAACCTCCACCCTAGGAAAAATTCTCTGGCTGTCCACTCTATCTATACCTCTGATCATTTTGTACACCTCTATCAAGTCACCTCTCATCCTTTGTCGTTCTAAAGAGAAAAGCCCTAGCTCTCTCAACCTTTCCTTGTAAGACCTTCTCTCCATTCCAGGCAACATCCTGGTAAATCTCCTCTGCATCTTTTCCAACGCTTCCACATCTTTCCCATAATGAGGTGACCAGAACTGGACACAGTAAAGCACTTTGCCCTGAAATCCTGACTCCCAATTCCTCAGAGGCTCATTCTCCGTAAATTTGGGAAACCTTGATTTAACACTAAATGAGAGAAAGAAGAACTGTGAGGATGCTGGAAATCCAAAACAGAAATCGCTGGAGAAACCCAGCAGGTCAGTGGAGAGAAAGCAGAGGGTCAGTTGACCCAAAAGTTTCACCTCGCCTCTGTTTCTCTCTCCACAGAGACTGCCAATCCTGCTGAGATTCTCCAGCAATTTCTGCTTTTGTCCCTGATTTTAGATTCTGTCAGGAGAGAAACGTAGCATTTTACAGGATGGAGGAATGTAGAGGGGCCAAATTCCTCTTTAATAATGACCTTGAGAGTTCGGGTTTGATGTCATCTACACAGTCTATCTCATATTAATTGCGAAATTCTGGGAGTGTGTAGGTGTGAAAGACAGATGGAAAGGATAGGCAGAACAATTTGAATCCGGGTTTGAGGGATATAAGCGACTTGTTTGACTTTGACACAGAATCACAGAATCCCTACAGTGTGGGAACTGGCCATTCAGCCCATCAGGTCCACACCAAACCTCTGGTGAGCATCCCACCCAGACCAATTCCCCTACCCTATCCTTGCATTTCCCATGGCCAATCCACCCCAACTTGCACATCTTTAGACTGTGGGAGGAAACTGGAGAACCCGGAGGGGACCCATGCAGAAACGGGGAGAACATGCAAACTCCACACAGACAGTCGCCCGAGGGTGGAATCAAACCCAGGTCCCTGACGCTGTGAGGCAGCAGTGTTAACCACTGAGCCACCCCATCAAAGGATGTGGCCATCACTGGGAACCCCAGAATTTGTTCCCCATCCCTAATTGCCCTTGAACTGTGTGGTTTATTAGGCCATTTCAGAGGGCAGTTAAGAGTCATCCACATCGCTGTGGATCTGGAGTCACATGTAGGCCAGACCAGGTAAGCATGGCAGATTTCTTTCCCTAAAGGACATTAATAAACTCAATGTGTTTTTATAATAATTGATTATACCATCGCTGAGATCAACTTTGAGTTCCAAATTAATCAATTAAATTTGAATTCCTGCATTCAACATTATGGGATTAGAATTCACACCCTGGGGTTTTGGATTACTAACAATGCCACATTGCCCCAGTGTGGGGGAGGGGGAAGGCCTGGGGGTGGAGAACACAAGCTCAGATCTTGAGGGCACAAGGTGAAGTGAGCATAGAAATGAGTCATTCAGGCCCCCAATATATGGGAGGGTGACCCTGCTGCCTCACAGCGCCAGGGACCCGGGTTCGATTCCACCCTCAGGGTGGAGTTTGCACATTCTCCCCGTGTCTGTGTGGGTTTCGTCTGGGTGCTCCAGTTTCCTCCCACAGTCTAAAGATGTGCAGGTTGGGGTGGATTGACTGTGTTAAATTGCCCCATAGTGTTCAGGGATGTGCAGGCTGGGTGGGTTAGCCATGGGAAATATTGGGGGCCTGAATCTGGGTGGAATGCTTTTCAGAGTGTCAGTGTAGACTTGTTGGGCAGAATGGCCTCTTGCCATACAATAGGGATTCTATAACATTAGAATTATAGCAATGAAGTTGTACAAAGGGAAAAATCTGTGTAAAGTCCTGAAATCTTTATTTATCAATGAACTGGATCCTAACAAATCCAATAAGGAACACTCAGGAAACTGAGATATCATAGTAATGTGAATGGACTGGCAATGCAGAGGCCTAGAGCTAATGGGCCACAGGTTCAAATCCACCACAGCTGCTGTTGGGATTTCAATTCAATTAATAAATCTGGAATTAAAAGTTAACCTCTTGAATGGTGACCATGGCAACTAGCGTTGATTGCCATAAAAACCCTTCCTAGAGTCATAAAATTGTACGGACGGAAACAGTCCCTATGGTCCAACTGGTCCCTGGTGACTAGATATCCTAAATTAATCGAGTCCCATTTGCCAGCATTTGGCCCATATCCCTCTAAACCCTTCCTATCCATATACCCGTCCAGATGCCTTTTAAATGTTGTAATTGTACCAGCCTCCACCACTTCCTCTGGCAGCTCATTCCATACACACACCACCCTCTGTGTGAAAAAGTTACCTCTTCGGTCCCTTTTAAATCTTTCCCCTCTCACCTTAAACCTATGCCCCTCTAGTTTTGAACTCCCCTACCCTGGGGAAAAGACCTTGGCTATTCACCCTCTCTATGCCCCTCATGATTTTATAAACCTCTATAAGGTCACCCCTCAGCCTCTGACGCTTCAGGGAAAATAGGCCCAGCCTATTCAGCCCTTCCCTGTAGCTCAAACCCTTCGAACCCAGCAACATCCTTGTAAATCATTTCTGCACCCTCTTGAGTTTAGTTATGTCCTTTAGGGAGGGAATCTTGACATCCTTGTCCCATTCAGACCCACACTCCACAGCAATAATTGCTGACTTTGCCCATTGACATCCTGGATTCCATGGAATATCATATTTCAAAACCCCCTCGAAAAGTGTAATGAGAACGAGGAACTCAGATTGGCCGAGGTAAACAATTGAAGCAGAAGCCAAGTAAACACATGAAGGAGGAAAGTGGGGATGGTGTTGGGTCACGAGGCGCTGGGTGTGGAGTTTTCATGTTTAATGGGGCTGGTGCCTGATGAGCCTAAGTAGTTGATGTAACCTCAGGCACTTCTGAATGACCAACGCCCCTCAGAGAGGGCAAGACATTCAGTATAATCAGAGTTGGACTGTCTTCTCACAGAATACATCAAAAAGCTGCCATCATTGTGAGTTCTATGAAGAGAAACCTCTGACCGAGTTTCTAGCCAGTTTGATGACATTTATGCAGTTTCACAACAAAAACCCTCATCATAACTACAGTGAGTGACATTCCAAAGGTCCCTCACCAGCTGTAAAGGACTGAGGAGCATGTTGAGGTGGTGAAAGTTGCTATGGAAACGGAACCCCTTTTTGCCCATGATATCTCCGAATGGATTTAAAGAGAATGGGTTTCCTGTAGACGACGGAGAGAAAGAACATTCTGGAAAAGAGATGCTGTTGTTGTTGACGATGGCTCTGACACGTAAATATTGAGTAAGTGTGAATTTAATTTGATTTGATTTATTATTGTCACATGTACCTGAGTACAGTGAAAAGTTTTGTTTTGTGAGCAGTGCGGGCAGATCACAGCAAACAAGGACATAGAGATCACGGGGTGTTTAGACAGAGCGAGGCACACAGGGTTACAGCTGCAGAGGTGGTGCACAAAGCAAGAACAACATTTGATTTGAAATTAGACAGGTCCATTCAGCAGATTAATAACATAGGGGAAGAAGCTGTTCGTGAATTTGTTGGTGCATGTGTTTAAGCTTCTGAATTTTCTGCCTGATGAAAGAGGTTGTAGGAGGTCATTACCCGGGTGGGAGGGATCTTTGATGATGTTGGCAGCCTTTCCAGAGCAATGAGCCATGTAAATGGAGTCCATGGATGGAAGGTTGGCTTCCGTGATGGTCTGGGCTGTGCAGACCACCTTCTGTAGTTTCTTACAGTCCTGGGCAGAAATCACACGACACCAGTTTATAGTCTAACAGGTTTATTTGAAATCACAAGCTTTCAGAGTGCAGCCCCTTCGTCACCTGATGAACAGGCAGTGCTCTAAAAAGTTTGTGATTTCAAATAAACCTGTTGGACTATAACCTGGGTGTTGTGTGTTTTCTGACTTTGTCCATGCCAGTGCAACACTGGCACCTCCGCATCATCTTACAGTCCTGGGCAGAGCCATTGCCATACCATCGATGACGCACCCTGATAGAATGTTTTCTATGGTGCATCTTTAAAAATTGGCTGTAACGTAAAATTGGAATTACTCTTTCTTGTAGATTTAAATACTAATCCCCCACATCCTGCACATTGCATTTCACACTTTAGATGTAACTGTTACTGCCACCTCCGGTATAAATCTTATTAAGAACCCAAGGTCTGCATTGTAGCATAATAACTGCGTAACTGGACTAATGATCCCAAGTTCAAATCCCACCTTGGCTACTGAAGGCATTTAAATTTGTTTAATCAATTCAAAATGTGGAATAGGATAATCTCAGATTGGCAATAATTGGCCACAAAAATACTCTGATTTTTAAAAAAAGACACATCTGGTTCACTAACGTCCTTTAGCGAGGGAAATCTGCTTTCCCTACACGATTCCAAACCCCTGCTGACTCTGAGCTGCCCTCTGAAATGGATGAACACACCTCCCAGTTGTATTGGAGAAGGTGAAACAGCATCAGCAGCTTCTCGATGCTGTTTAAGCATGGTCAATAAATGCTGAATAAAAACCGAGAGAACTGCGGATGCTGTAAATCAGAAACAACAACAACAGAAATTGCTGGAAAAGCTCAGCAGATCTGGCAGCATCTGTGGAGAGAAATCAAAGTTTACATTTCTGGCCCAGTCCTGTTCTGAGGAAGGGTCACTGGACCCGAAACGTTTACTCTGATTCCTCTCCACAGATGCTGCCGAACCTGCTGAGCTTTTCCAGCAACTTCTGTTTTTGTGTCAATAAATGCTGGTGTTACCAGTGAAGTTCCAATCCCGAGAGCAATCAGGACGAAGAGGCAAGAGTAGACTGTGCGGACAGATCCAATAAGATTATGGTAGATTATCTCCCTGAACCCTCATTTCCACCAGTATCCTTTGATTCCCCTTATAAACTGCACTGAGTGTGGTCATCTATCTAACCCCAACTGGAAGCAGAATGCTAACATGGTCTAAGAGTCAAAATCAAACCCTTTAGCAATCACTGTGTGGCAGAAGGTGATGGGAAAGATGCTTGCTTCCTGTATTAGTGGAAGTTGGCTCAGTGGTTAGCACTGCTGTCTCACAGTGCCAGGGACCTGGGTTTGATTCCAGCCTGAGGTGACTATCTGCCTGTGTGGAGTTTGCATATTTGGGAGGCTGATGGCCTCGTGGTACTATCACTGGACTGTTAATCCAGAGACCCAGATAATGGTCTGGGGACCCGGGTTCGAATCCTGCAATGGCGGATGGTGGAAATTGAATTCAATAAATATCTGGAATTGATCATCTAATGATGACCATGAATCCAGTGTTGATTGTCAGGAAAAACCCATCTGGTTCACTAATGCCCTTTAGGGAAGGAAACTGCCATCCTTACCTGGTCTGGCCTACATGTGACTCCAGACCCACAGCAATGTGGTTGACTCTTAACTGCCCTCTGGGCAATTAGGGATGGGCAATAAATGCTGCCTGGCCAGCAACGCCCTCATCCCGTGAATGAATAGGAAAAAAACATCCCGTTGCCCGGCATTCTTCCTGCGTATATTGTAAATCTGAAGCGTGATGGCAAAATACTTCGAGGTTTGATACATTTGAAACAGATAACGGACTCCAGGCTGCACTTTAGTTGTTGTACCCAGCTGCTGTGAAGTGAATACAAGGGTCTTCTTAAACTTCTTAAACAAGGTGAGAATGGAGTTGGGGGAGAAACCTTATAAAGTCAGTTCTCCGAGGGTGGACACTGCGTCCATTGTGATAGCAGGAAATGTTGGTATCGCAATTTACGCTGCGAAGTATTGAGATTTTAAAAAAACCATTAAAATTCATAGCCGCAGGAAGTAGGAATCATAGAAACAAGGAGACCATTCGGTCTCTCAAACCTGTCCCACTGATTAATTTGTATCTGAATTAAATCACCCATCCTGCCTCCAAACTCTTTGAATCGCCCATCTGGCAAATGTTTTGTCCATCTCGCACGCAAAATCTGCGTGCAACTAATGCTTTCTGTGAGAATTCCACATTTCTAACTTCTCGTGTGGAGAGGAGATTTTTTTCTACTTTCTGGGAGCAAATGACTGCACATGCTGGAATCTGTACTGGAAACAACAAATGCTGGAGATCACAGTGAGGTCAGGCAGCATCAGGATGGAGAGAGACAGAGCAAGCTAGATGACTCTTCATCAGAGCTGACGTGGTGTGGAGGGGACAGCATTTATGCAATAATTTCGGGGGCGGGGGGGGACGTTGCATGGAGGGCTGGGAGAGAAAAGATGCTGATAGTGTGGATTAAGTGATTGGAACGTGAGAATGGCTCGTCTAACTGCTAGACCAGGAAGGACAGACAGCCCCACTGGGGTTGGGGAGAGGAAAGAGAGAACATGGTTACAGAGAATGTAACAAGTAAAGTTTTGCTTTGATTTCGATTTTATTTGTCCCAAGATGAATCTTTCTTCTCCTAAATTGCTCTCTCAATGGAAAAGCTGTTGTAAGTCAAGCCTGCTATTACATGTAGAGGGAAGGAACTGACATTTTGGTGCGGCCTTCTGAAGGTTTTGACATGCAACTAATAAAAACATTGTGTGTTCAGTGAAAACTTGCCAGAGCATAGGAATACTGCCAACTTTTTTCCTTCTCTCACTTGCCAGACTGCCCCAATATGATTTATATTTGATCTGCACTTTTACCTGAACAATAGAATCTTTGTGTCAAATGATCAGAATCAGACACAGACACTTTTAGAACTGAGGTGAGGAGGAATTTCTTCAGCCAGAGGGTAGGGAATCTGTGGAACTCATTGCTACGGAGGGCTGCGGAGGCCAAGGCATTGAGTGCCTGTAAGACAGAGATAGGTTATTGATTAGTGACAGGACCGAGGGTTACAGGGAGGAGGTGGTAGACTGGGTTTGAGAAACATATCAACTATGATCAAATGGTGGAGCAGACTCGATGGGCTGAATGGCCTAATTCTGCTCATGGTCTTAGATCCAGACAACAAGTAAGTAGGTGCATAGTTTGTTTGCCTCCAATTGAGGCCTACTAACTCAGGATTCTGTGTCCCCCAAGTCCCCTTCACAATTAGCCCTTGACTAATATTTTATCAGTTTATTTGTGGGATGTGGGTATTGATTGCAAGGTCAACGTTTGTTACTTGTCCCTAATTGGCCTTGAGTAGGGTGCTGGTGAGCCTTTGACTGATCACTAGGGTCCAAATCCTGGAATTTCCTCCCCTAAGGGCATTGTGGGTCATGGACTGCAGTGGTTCCAGAAGGGCAGTTCACCTCCACCTTCTCAAGGGGCAACTAGAGATGGGCAATAAATGCTGATCCCAGCCGGCGACACCCACATCCCACAAATGAATAAAAAACAAATCACAGCCTCAACCACCTCCCCTGGCAGTGCATTCTCGACACCTACCACCCTCTGTGTAAAAATCCTGGTCACATATCTCCTTTAAACATTCCCCTTTCCCCTATGCTCCCTAGTATTCGACATTTCCACCCAGGGACAGAGATTATCTATCCTATTCACGCCTCTCAATTTTATATACTTTTATCACATCGCTCCCCCACCCCACCCCCCAATCATCCTCAGACCATCTAACAAAAACAATCCAAGTTTGTCCAGCCTCTCCTGATAGCTCATACACTCCAACATCCTGGTAAACCTCCTTTACACCCTCTCCAAAGCTGCCACATCCTTCCTATAGTGTGGTGACCAGAACTATACACAATGCTCCGAATGCAGCCTAACTAAAGTTATCTACAACTGCAACACCACTTGCCAACTCTCATTACTCAGTGCCACAATCATTTAAAGCAAGCGTGCCATGTACATACTTTACCACCTCATCCACTTGTGTTGCTATTTGCAGGGAGATGTGGACTTGCATCCCAAGATCCCCTCCATATGCCAATGTTCCTCAGGGCATTGCCATTTGGTGTATATTTTCATCTTGCATTTGACGTCCCAAAATACATCACTTCATACTTCTCCGGATTAAACTCCATCTGCCCTTTCTCCGTCCAGCTTTCCAGGCGACCTATATCCTGCTGCATCCTCGGAAAAACCTTCCTCACTATCCACAACTCCGTCAATTTTCCTGTCGTCTACCAAAATATGAATCAGACCACCCATGTTTACATCCAAATCATTTATATACGTTACAAGCAGCAGAGGTCCCAAGCACTGATCTATGCAGAAAACCACCGGCCGCAGAGAAATTCTCCAGAATCTTGCTAGGCATTCCTCTTAATGCCTTTTAAATTAGTCGGACGTCCCTCCCCCATCCACTTACCACCAAGGGTTAATGCAGCAGACTGCAATCTGATGCTTTCCCCTTGCTCTCTTCTGTTGCCTTTCTCTGAATTTTACTGACTTGAGATTCATCTCTACTAGGCCTGGCATTTGGTCAAAACCTTCGGCGACATACGCCTCCCTTATACACTTCATTTAAAAATTACATGGAAACAAATGGTTTCAATTAAACTTGTTTAAGATCCGATGTTTTCAAAGTACGGTATTTATTGTGTTCTCTCCCCTTGTGGCCAAGAAACATAATTAAGCCACTGCTGCAAAGCTCCAGAATAGAGTCTGCAGATGTTGACATTCTTAAAGCTTTTGGAAATGCTAATGGAGATTACTCATTCGCAAATGTTACTCCAGTTCTTTTGTGTACGATTTCCCAACCCTTTGTGGAAAGAAAAGGTGGCAGAAGGGTATTTTCCCAAAGTGTATTTTATAAATCAAAGTAAACATTGAGGAAAGGAGATGCGACAATTGTAAACCATTTTGATTTTGCAAGAGAAGGAAAATAAGCAAAAACAGAAATGACTGCAAAAGCTCAGCAGGTCCGGCAGCTTCTGTGGAGAGAAATCAGAGTTAACATTTCGTTTCCAGCCACCATTCCTCACAACTGATGCTCTTTATCTGCTCTGTCCAGACACCTCATGATTTTGAAAACCTCTGTTTCCTTCTCTCCGAGGAAAATCTCTCCAGTCTATCCTCAGAACTGAAGTTTTTCAACAATTAAAACTAACATGATGGGCCAAATGGCTTGCTTCCACACTGTCGGTATTCTATTCTAATCTATTCTATTCTAGAAAGCCTAGAAGGTTGTGAGAAATAGCAGTAATAGCAGTGAGCACTGGGAGATTTGAAGAATACAACACAGGAGGACTGTAGGACCGCACCCCTCGACCAGGGACAAAGACTCAGCAGGCAGACAGGATTCGGACAAGTGAAAACTTTATCCAAGCAACAATCAATTAATGCAAGGGGACGGCCAAAGACCTTTCTCAAATCTGGCCTTGACGTTAGAACCCAGTTGTTCTCTTAATCTACGGCTCAGATCAATGACGCACTCTGATTTTTACAGCAAAATACAGCATTTCTATGCATTTTATGTTACAATAAACATACACAGCGTGGTCACTGTGTCCTTCCTCCTTATTCCATACACTCAATCCTGTGAAACGCCTAATCAATGATGGACATTCATATGGGCAGTCTCAGGTTCCCATGATCTCGTGGTGTTTAACAAACATTGTAATCGTCAGGCCTTGGGATCTTTCTGTGCATCCTATTAATCAGCATTCCAAGGTTACTGGTTATACTCCTTCTGGGCTGTCCCAGACTTGTTTATCTCTAAGGACTGCTTGAATTCTGTTATTCATTGTATTCCATGTGCTATCTCTATCAAATTCAGTTACTCCTCATATTTTCCACTGTCCCAATTATATATATTTAAAAAATGCAGAAGACAGTTGGTTAACCAATTGCTGTAAGAGTCATTGTATTAATGTCTGTTATAAAGTTAGTTGTAAATTTCAACTGTTTGCAATTTATAACTAATAAGTTGCAAACAATTTACTTCATTCAGGACATACCAGGCATCTCTTTGGAGATAAGGAATGCATTTCCTGAGACTAATTAACTTCCACTTTTATGTTTAAATGTTTCTCCCTGATGCTTCTATTATACTTCGGGAGATGTGTATCTATAATTATGTTGAAAGCTATTTCAATGGTTATCTAAAGAAACTTTAACCATAACCTCTTTCTTAATATTGTGAATAACTTCAAAGAATCAACTGATTACTACAAAATAACTTCAGCTGTTGTTTTCACAACTCCTTATGGGCTGAGATTTATACCAGATTTAACTGGTGTTGTTCACCAACTGGGACAACATCCTTTCATTGAAGCTAGAATCAATCATTTGTTTATCCCTAGGCATCCCGTTATCAAACTATCTCAGATGGTTGCTTGCAGGGTTTCCTGTTCACTTTGGAGTGAACATGTTCAAAGGTCCCATTATGTTTCACGTAAATGCTACAGCAGACTGTTTTATTCAGTTTATCTCCTGTTGGCCATTTTGTGTCTTTCAAACATGGGCCAACCTTACAAGCACTGAGATATTGATAAGGAAAAGGAGAATAATATGAATGCAATCTTTGAAGAAACATAAAATAAGGCTGTAAAAGCTTCTATAGGTATGTAAAAAGGAAGCTTTTGGCTAAAATGAATATGGGTCCATTAGAGGCAGAATCAGGACAATTTATAATGGGGAAATAGAGAAATAGCAGAGAAACTAAATGATTACTTTGTGTTGGTTTTCCTTGAGAAAGACCCCAGCAATGTCCCAGAACTAGAGATCGAAGTGGCTAGGGAAAAAAAGCAGCATTTGTAAAATGCTTGTACTGGAGAAAATGATGGAGCTGAATGGTGGATAAACCCACAGCTTCAACACTTGAACAGCTTAGTCACGCCCAATGAAGTTTATCTCATGTCATTTCCTCTTTTGTCTCGACAGCAGCTGGCAACTTCGATTAAGATGAGCGCAGATGATCCCCAACATGGTGGCTGTGGAATAAGGTGAGCAGCCAATTCAATCAAATAGTTAAAAGCATGTATTTACAGTCACGTTCCTCCTATTCCTGCCTGTTTCTCCGGAGCGTCTGGCCTGATCTCGTTAGTTCCCTCCATTGTGAGTTGGAGCCATTCTCTACAATACGCTTCCAGAAGCTCAGTGCCAAATAGGATAAAGACCATAAGGCACAGGAATAGCTAACCATTCGGCCCATCGAGTCTGCTTCACCATTCAATCATGAATGATATAGTTCTCAACCCCATTCTCCTGCCTGCTCCCCGTAACCTTTAATTCCCTTACCAATCAAAGAATCGGTTTAAGAGATAACAAGGTGTAGAGCTGGATGAACATAGCAGGCCAAGCAGCATCAGAGGTGCAGGAA